GCGGTTTTGGGTGAGAAAATCATTATAAAGTATCTTGTATGTTTCAGAGCTCGTTTACTCTGGGATAACATTTCTTGGTGCATTATTCTATATAAATTTGAGTATCCCAAATTAGTTTACAGTATGTTGATTATGATAATAAATTCAATTTTTGTTCTGTTCATGAACATGTTATGTTTCATTTTATAAGCCGGTTCAAAGAAAGATTTGAAATGAAAGAGGATCTCTTTAACAGTTATAATTCTGTCCTTTCATACCTTGGCAGCTTGCTACTTTCTGTCGTAGTTTTTCTTCTTAGTGTTTCTTCTCCACTAGAGATAACTATTAAAGAGTAGTGGAAGATGATTAAAGCTTTCCTGAGCACTGTCTGTATCTTGGTGACTGATGTTTCAAATTAAGAATGGCAAATGAGACTATTAAGATACGTCTTTTACTTTTCTCCTTGATATTTAAGATTTACTTACAATAAGATACCTTATGCTTGCATTTGAAGACAGAAGGTAGAATTTGGATGTGACAGACTTGGACCAGTACGTAAGATTGTGCATTGTAATGAAAACTGTCTGGTTTTGTAGGGAGTGGACTCATTATGTTGTAAATTTGTCATTTCCTGTGATTTTCTCAATTTTGATAAAGTTGGGAATCGAATTTTGTAATTACACAGTCAAGAAGCTCTCTGCAAATTTTAAATGGATACATATTAATTATTTTCTGTGGTTGTTACTTTGCTTCAAGTGTATCAATTAATAATATTTTAATAAGCTTAAAGCTAGTAGTTCTATCCTACATCCATTATGCTATGTCACATTTTAAGTTCTTATCTGCACTTCATTTAAAAACAACTGCACTGTTTCAGACTATGTACAACTATTGTTATTATAAGTCTTTCACCTGTTTTTGAAATAGGATATCATTTGAAGGAAAACACAGAGATTAATTCAAAGGATTTGTAAAGTTCTCCTGCATGGATGAGTTTACCTCATGACTTACCTCTTTAGTTATTTCTAGCATGTCAGCAGTTAAAATTCCATTCAGTTCTGTTTTCAATTAACTTAAAATAGTGGGAAGTACAGATTCTTCCAGAATTTACAGAAGTTTTGCTAGTAATTATTATAATGTCAAGGAAGTATCTACAGGGCCACATCAACACTGAGATTTGCAACTGACATTAGTATTTGACATAAATCCAGAGCTGCTAAACACTTGTGCTAGAAACCAAGTTAGCTTAACCCTAAGAAAAATGTTGACTATCAAGGCATGAAGCTGTGCAATGTATACACCTCTCACTCATGTCCTGGCAGGCCCTTACCCAGAGCAGTTCAAAATGCCTTATTCTTTTTTTTTTTTCCCTATCTTTACCACCCATAATCAGTGTCAAGTCTGACAGCAGAGACAGCAGTGATTCTGCTGGAGGGCTTCTGGGGAGGATCAAGAAGCAGATTTGTACTGGTTTATAAATACTCTGTTTATTCCGTGCTGTTACATGCAGGAATCTACCTACTGAAAAACACTTAAATATGAAAATTTAAAATGCAATTTTAAGTATTGCTTTTCTATTTTAATTTTGAATATGCTTTCTTTGGAGATAAAGGTAGTGAGTACCAAGTTATAGGTAATAAAACCTATTTGCTCACCTCAAGCCTTATCTCCACACTTTCACCATCTATTAATCTTCTGTTATTTTTCCTCTGTTTTTCCTTCATTGGTTGTGCTGACTCAAGGAAAAAAAGACTCCACAACCTGTAAGGTTGTAAAGTAGGTATGTTTATTCCATGCTGGGTGTACGGGGGATCACTCCTCCGCAGACTTGCGCACCTAAAACAGCAATTTCCCTTGATTTTATACAGTAATGTATTGCTTATTCATTAAGCGCCTATACATATTCATAACCTTTCCCCGAAAAGGTGGTCCTTTTTCAAGAAGTCCTTTGCATGTTCTCCCCCTTCCTCTCCTCCTAGTCACGCCTGCGCAGTGCCTCCTGGTGGTCGTGGGCCAGGGTCTCGGAAGGAAGGAAGTAGTCTTCATCATGCTGAACTCCCATAACCTTCTTTTGGCACATGCTCCTGGAACTTCTCCAAGTCACAGAGTCAGTTTTATCTGGTTTTGAGGCCGCTTCAGTTTCTATTTCTCGATACTTCCCTTATTCAATACCCTATTGTTAGTTAGTTACATGCCTGCTAACCTCAGTTTCCCATTAATTTCTATAAGCTATTCAATTCCTTGGTTACATGATTGCTAGGTTTTACCTGGATCCTAGCCCTAAACTACAAGCCCCCCATTTCAGTGCTGTGCCATGTGAACATGATATGTAGTACCACAGTATGCAGCATTAAATATAGGGAATACTGCTTCAAGAAAACCCATCCACATCAAATGTAGTTGCAAGTTTCAAGGAGCTGACTGGAAAACTGTTAATACCCGTAACTTTTCAGCTTGTGTCATATGAACAAAGGCCACATTCATTCTTTGTCACTCAGATATAGAGCAGGATCACAAACAAAGCTGACACAAATGGCCTTCTGAATTACATATTCTGCTGGCTTTCCTGTCCAAATGCCGAATTTCAAGATAGACTGCTTTTCTGGAAACAAAGAGATAAGTGTGTTAGAACGTATCTTTTTATAGCTAAGTAATGGAGACAGAGCAATGCAATTACACTGTGGTCAGTAACTGTCTTTTCATTCTGTAATTTGAAAGAAACATATAGAGTCCTTTTCAGTCTTAGTAGATTGAATTCATGACTCACTCATAAAGAAGAAGAGATGTGCTTGCAGTTATTTCCAAATGACAGGAAGAATTATAGCCACAAAATCTACATTTCAAAATTGAAGCTTTCCTAGGTTTAAAATGCCATTGCCTACTTTTTAATTCCTTCCCTGGAATCTTGTATCTAGATAAGATACCTAGTTTCCATTTACACATTTTTTTAAAACTTTAAGACCTAGCGGAGATCTAAAAACAGGGTCTCGCAGGTAATAAGTGTCTGACAGACATCTCAATGACATGTTTATAATCAACAGGAAGATTTGGATATATCCAAGAAATTATTCCCCATGTGAACACTGCGGAGGAAGTACATGGTTAAAATTAGCCAATTGTAATTAGTGAGAACAGACATATGTCTGGACTTTCACTTCTCTCTGCGTTGCCCTACACACCTTCCAGGTGCTTCTTTGACCGCAAGCGCCTATCTAGCCTATCTATTGGGTCACATCTCTCCTTTCACTGAACCTGTTCGTCTGTATGGTCATGGGACCATAGGGAAGCAAGCAAGAGGAAGCACAAGTTATTCTTGTGTTTAGGGCATTCAGCCAAGAGTAGGAGACCAGAGGGTTTCAGTTATGATTTAAAAAACAATCCTGGAAGAAGAACCAGATTAATGTCTAGACCACTAGGTTATCTCCTCTTTATTTTCTTTGTTTCTTGCCAGGTTACTTGGTTGTGCAAAGGCTGACATTCAAGACAGGGATTTCCACAATCCAGCTTTTTAATCCCGTCAAACTATTTTGTAGTCTGGTAAACAGAGTTAATGGATACAGGTTTAGTTCGCCACAAGATCAGGAGGTAATTGGACTGATGCTTCATAATTCCTTGCTGAATAGCAAAATTAATAGGATTGTATAATATGTATAATGTTGTATTACATATAATACTTATAATATGTACTTTGTATGTTATTTAGGATATTATTAAAGGGTGGAAGGCATTACTTCATGGTTCTCCACAAAAGTGGCCACAGTGCTTGTACTTTGGTTTGTATTTGGCATGTTGATAACTTGCCTCAATCAGGTCACTGCAGTATATAAGAAAGACATTGAGGTGCTGGAGAGGGTCTAAAGAAGGGCAACAAAGCTGGTGGAGGGTCTTGAGAACTAGCCTTATGAGGAGTCGTTGAGGGACTTGTGGTTGTTTAGTCTGAAGAAAAGGAGGCTGAGGGGACACCTTACAATTACCTGAAAGGAGGTTGTAGAGAAGCGGGTGTGGGTCTCTTCTCACAAGTTACAACTAATAGGATGAGAGGAAATGACGTCAAGTTTCATCCGAGGAGGCTGAGGTTAGACATTAGGAAAAACTTCTACACTGAAAGGGTTATCAAAGACTGGAACAGGCTGCCCAGGAAAGTGGTGCAGTCACCATCCTTGGATCTGTTTAAAAGCTGTCTAGATATGGTGCTCAGGGACATGGTTTAGAAGTGGGCACAGTAGAGTTAGTTAATGGTTGGACTTGATGATCTTAAAGGTCTTTTCCAACCATAACTATTCTATGATTCTGTGATAGGTCTTCTAGGGCTTCTGTAGAATTTAGCTGCCACCTCTAACTAGATCACAGAAGTTTTAATGGAAAACAGGTACCCCACTTTCCAAAAGAAGGCATTTAAATAGAATTCTAGACACTCATGTTCAGACATTTGTCTTATGACCCAAAATGTAGGTGAGAAATCTATAACAACAACTAATGGAACTAGCTGCTCTAGACAGAGACATTTACAGCAATTATCTAAAAGTGTGTTTCTCCCCAGATTCTATGTAAGATACTGGAA